GCGGCTCAAGAGCTGCGCGCAGAAGTGGCCGCAGGGCTGCGCGAAGAAAGTGATTGCGCGAATGCGCCCGAACATGCGGGATATCGTGAACGCCGGCAGCTGCGCCCCGAAGAACGATTGAGGGCCCCCGCCCGGGCCCTTCCGTCTGGGCGCGTTTTGCCGCGCACGCCCAGGCGATTCGTTTCTCGGCTCGGACGCGGCGTGGGCGACTTTACTTCCCAATCTGCCGACTGCGCCGACTGCGCACGCGGACTTCGCGTTCTCTCTTCGTCGCTCGCGCGAGAAAGCACTCCGTTCTTCCTGGGGGCCCAGCCGGGGCGCCGTGTCAAGTGGATTGGATTGAGATCGTTCGGCCCACTGGTCTGGGCTGGGCGGGGTTGCAGGGTCCTGAATTGGCATTGGTTTCGATCCCGTTCGATGTGAGTTGGCACGTGTGGAAGTCTGGGGCGGTTGATCCCGCCCTGACCTGGCTAAGACGAAACGACGATGAGATCGCTTGGAATGGCGCCCTGGAACGTTGCAGCGTGTTTTGTGGTAGCCTTTCCATGACAAAACGGCCCTGGGATTGCCAGGCATGGCGTTCTGGGGCGTTGCAGGTTTTTCCCCTAATCAGATTTTACTTCTGCATGGGGTCCTTGCGGATTCATATGGTTAGGTTAGCTGCGTCGCCGATGTTGGCGGCCCGCCCGGGTGCCTGCGTACCCAGGTGCCCGGGAGCTGCGTCGCCGATTTCGGCGGCCCGCCCGGGTGCCCTATAGCCCTGTAGCCCTATAGCCCTAGAACCCTATAGCCCTACAGCCCTATAGCACTACAGCCCTATAGCCCAATGGCCCAGTTAACCCTACAGCCGTATAGCCCTATAATTAGAGCCCTCTAGCCCTATAGCCCTTTAGCCCTATAGCCTTATAGCCCTAGCACTGTAGCCCAACGGCCCAATAGCCGTATAGCCCTCTAGCCCTATAGCACCATAACCCCATGGCCCTATACCCCCAAGGCCCCCGGTATCATTCGGTCTTAGCCTGGCTATGACGAAACGACCCTGGGATCGCCAGGGATAGCGTTCTGGGGCGTTGCGGTTTTTCGGTCTTAGCCTGGCTATGACGAAACAATGATGGAAGCTACGAGGCGCGACAGGGTTGAAACTTTCCAACGTTATATAAATTACTTGTTGGAGCTCTGGTACAGGAATTCCTCACCAAAGCGATGCCGAAATAACGCTGAGTACCCGACCGAAAAACCGTTACATCCCAGAACGCCGATCTTGCCAATCCCAGGATCGCGTCGTCATAGCCACGCTATCACAGAAATCAAAGCAACGTCCCAGAACGCCATCCTTGGCGATCTCATCGGCGTTTCCTTTGAGCCAGGCGGGATCCGAATATCATGTGACGTTGCAGCCAACGCATCCCATCGTTCACATAGCCTGATCGGAAAAAGTGCTCTCGCCTCCGCGCCGGGTCACGTCCCACCGCTCCTTTCGTAGAAGCAGTATGATGAACATATTCGCTTGTACAGACAAGTTGCTGCCACAACCGACACGCGCTGCCCACTAGATGACGGTCGCCACCAGCCAATACACCCACGAGCATTGGATGGACTTATGGCGAATCGACAAACTGCGTTCCGTCACCAAGCGAGTGGGAGAAACGTGACACGATGCACGGACCTCGGGAAAATCTGCACAAGGATTTGGCCAGCCTTGGCCCAAGTACACCTCTCAGCTCCCCCATTGTGACACTAGACGCTGAGAGGCCAGTTGACAGAACACAATAAAACGGTGTACACGCTAGGCCATCGCATCATGATGTGTGAAAACATGCCGATGGTGACCGCGTGTTGTTCCAACCAAAAGCCTGCCCGCTGCCACCTCTCGTCCCTTTCGCACGTGCTGGTCCAATCTTCGTAGCGGATGACGGTCGGTTCACACGCTGATTTATCATCTCGCCCAGCAGCGGCGTTCCGCTGCTTATTTTTGCCCTTCTCGCACTTGATGGTCCGAGCGTTGTAGCTGATGACAGTCGGCCCAAGCTTTGGCTCCCACAATACACTCAGCATTGACTGAACACTCCGAAGCTGCTCGCCCTGCTCTCACGCGCCGACACCAGCACTGTAGGAGATACGGGTCAAGGTTCGGTGCCCAGAAGCAGTCTGCCTGCTGCCACGTCTCGTTTGTTTCGCACGTACTGCTCCAGACAGGGAGGCTGACGACGGTCGATGCTAGCTTCGCCTCCCACAGAATGCTCAGCAGCCGCATCAACCGCTACCACTTCCCACCCCCCATCGCACGCGCTGAACGTGCTAGCAATAGCATCAATATCATGTGGGAACATGCGAATCAAACTAAATGTATATATATATTTTTTTCCTCCACCAGCAAATTTGCCCGCCTTCGCCACCGCGATCGCCTGCGAACTTGCGCGGGGGGCGCGGTGCCCCCACGCACCATTGGGCGGTGACGGACGTGACGCCAAGGCGAGTTTGAACCCAAAGGGTACCTACGCGCCTTGGGCCACATGTGCTTGAAGAAGGGGAATGGAGGAAGATATTGAGGAGGAGGATGAGGAGGAGGAGGAGGAGGAATAGAGGGAATAGGGGGAGGAACCTGAGGAGGAATCAAAGGAGGACGAATAAGAGGTGGAGGAGGAGGAGGGGGAGGAGGAGGAAGAGAATGAAGAGGATGAGGATGAGGAGAAGGTATATGATGATGATGCAGCTGCTGATGATGATGAGTATGATTAGGATTATGATGATGATGACGATGATGATGATGATGCTGATGATGATGATGTTGGTGCTTCTGATGATGATGATGAGGATGGTGATGATGATCATGATGATGATGATGGTGATGACGTGGATGATGGTGATGGTGTTGATGATGGTGTTGGTGATGATGTTGATGGTGATGGTGCTGCTGATGATGAGATGGTGTGGATGATGATGCTGATGCTGGTGCTGGTGGTAATGATGCTGACGTTGACGATGGTGCTGCTGATTATGATGATGATGCTCATGCTGATGGTGGTGGTGATGATGAGGATGATGATGAGGATGGTAATTGCTACGATGATGATGTTGCTGATGATGCTAGTGATGCTGATGATGATAGTAGTGATGTTGATGGCGATGATGATGATGATACTGATGATGATGAAGATGATGATGATGATGATGATGATGATGATGATGATGATGATGATGGTGGTGATCTGCTGCCGCTAATGATGATGATAGTCGTGGCCTGCTGCTGATGATGATGATGGTGCTGACGATGATGATGATGCTGCTGATGATGCAGATGCTGATGATGATGACGATGATGATGACGATGAGGATGATGATGCTGATGCGGATGATGACGATTATGGTGATAATGATGATGGTGGTGATGATGATGATTATAATGATGATGATGATGATGATGCTGATGATGATCTTGATGGTGGTGATTATGGTGATGATGAAGACGGTGATTTTGATGATGATGACAATGACGATGATAATGATAATAGCGATACTGAAGAATATGATACTGATGATAATGCTGATGATGCTGATGCTGCTGGTGATGATGATGATGATGGTGATGATGATGATGATGATGGTGATGATGATGATGATGATGATGGAGAAGGAGGAGGAGGAGGAGGAGGAGGAGGAGGAGGAGGAGGAGGAGCTGAGAGAGAGAAGGCTGGTGCGGATGCAGATGCGGATGCGACGGAAGATAAGAACGAGGAGGAGGAGGAGGAAGAGGAGGAAGAGGAGGAAGAGGAGGAAGAGGAGGCCGGAGGGGGGGTGGGAGGTCGGCCCCGCGGGGCAGGAGCAGGGAGGTCCTCCTCCTCTTCCGCCTCTTCCTCCTTCTCGTTCTTCTCCAATCCTTTTTCTCCTGGTAGATTGAGATGTTGGTATACAAGATAAGTAAGAAGGCAAAAAAAAAACACTCAAAGCATCCCTGTGTCGTTTCAAAGATTGGGCTGATTATCGTGAAGTTTTGGGCGCCCTCCATCGCAGTATTCGAGACGAACCTCTCGTCCAGCAGGGGATCGTAGTCAATGGGCAGGTCGTACACAACCCTTCAGATATCATGGATCACAAAAACCAACATTGGGTATCCATTTGGTGTCTAAAGATCAAGGACACCGCCAGGCTAGAACGTGCGTTTGCTGAAGTACGCGTTGCCGCTGAGGATGAAGTCTTGGCTGACCTCACCCCAGGGTGTGTACGATCAGCGACCAGGAAAATGAGACCAACGCGGGGCCAGGGAGTTGATCGGATGTGGATCGCCTCCCAGACTCAGCGCTGGCCGAACTGGTCACTATGTTTGAATCCATGGGATCGGTCCTTGCCTGGCCAAATCCACCATGTGATCGGACATTTGGTGCCTGAACACAAGGGGACAGGCGACATAATCATTGGTATTATCATCATGTTTGCTCGCATATGGTCCATGTGCAGAGAACCAAAAGTATCCGAATGGGCGGAGCAGCAAGCCCCCGCCTGGGACGCAGCTGTGGCAGGCCACGCAGCCCTTCGAGAAACAGCTTTGAGAGTTTTAGATGGTGGACTTGTGCATAAGTTATTTTCATCCATGGACAAGTCTGTCGACGGATCTGTCTTTGAATGCGCCCAGAAGGGCCGCCAGGTTCTCGACGTCGCTTTCCCGGCCAGCCTCGTGATCGAGAAGGGCTTCGATATGCGATCGGAGGCCTGCGTTGCGCAGGCCGACGTGCGTCCATACTACGACAGTTTGCAGCCGCTGCTTCTCTTGCAGTGGATGGTGGTCATAGGTTTCAGCGCTGGCACTGGCGAGGTCGTTCGTGGCCCTCCAGCTGTGTCCCACTATCGTCCTCGTGGCGGGCACCGCTGAGGCGCGATTGAGCAATCGCATTGTGGGTACCTTGACTGGCAGCCGTTCGTCATCTGCTGCCGGCCGAATCCCATTGCTTGACGCGGCGTTGTACCATTCCGAAACATGGCGTCGTTTTTGCTTTTCTGTCGAGGGTTTTGCGTGCGCCCTCGCCTCCTACGTCGACAATCTCGTGGCCTTCGGGCCCTCCCCAGAGGCTGCAACCTCTATCCGCATCGATTGCGGAGTGCACTTGAAGCATTGTTGGTCTCTGGAATTTTGCCAGGACTCCATGGAATACATGACGTGCAGGGGCTACCCAAGCAACGCCACACCCAGCGGCGAGTGGCACCAGCGGACGGCGTTCAAGTGCTTCGGTCACCATCCTGACGACGACGGAGGCATCGCGACCTGCCTGAGTTTCACGATCCGTAGCATGTGGAGAGCTTTCTGGGGAAACATGTCCAAGGGGCTCCAGACAGCACCCATCTGGACGAAGCTGCGGTTCATGCAGACCTTCATCAAGCCTATTCTATTGCGTCATTCCGCTGGTCTCGCTGGCCTGTCCAAAAAAGCGCCGCCGACAAACTCGACAGGGTCCAGCGCGAGATGGTGTATATCTTGGCAGGCGTGAGACCCAGGGCTTCCGAGCCCCCTGCGGCTTATGCGCAGCGCCGCCGGAGCATCGCTGGCGGCTGCTGGCGACTGTCGGCAAGTGGAGTCGTGATTGGGCAGGATCGGTCAAATTCGTGGCACGACCGCGTGGAGAGGCGCCGCGATCCTTGGGCTTGGTCTTGGCCGTTGCTCCACTGGCGCGCCAGCGATTGGCTCCATCGCCAGCGCATTGCGGCCTCCTCCGCCAACGAGCCCCGCACTCGCACGAAAGTCTGCCGCGGCCGCCCGCAGAGGAGATGGGGGGAAGGTCTCTGGGATATCCAGGTCTCGGCCTTGCAGGCGTAGCCCTGCTGTGGTGCTGCCGTTCCTCTGAGTGGCGCGCGAGTTTCGGGCCACCCAGCTGCGGCCCCGATTTGTCCTTCTTCCTCGCCTCGCGTCTCTGCCCCCCCCCCCCCCCAGCGCGAAAAGCGCCGCGCTTTGTTGCGCGCGCGTTCTCCTAAGCAGTGGCGGAGTGCACCTGTTGTGTTGGCTCCGTTCGTGCCGTTTCCCCCCTCCCTCTGCCCCCCCCCACCCCCCTCCCCCTTCCTTCCTCCCTTCCTCTTCCCTTTCCTTCTCCCTTGGCGCGGTGTCCATCGCTTGCCGCGCAGCCAGCTGTTACTTCGCGAAGCGCGGCCGAAGTGCCGCGGATCGCGAGGCCGAGAGTTGCCCATGGGTTAGGGTTGTTCTATCGTCCGCACAACAACAACCATTGGCAACGGCCTGCTCGACATTGAGGGGGGTTCTACGACGCGGTGACGTGGGGCATCCTCATCGAAGGCGCGGTCAGGGTGGGTTCTTCCGCCCGCGATTCTCGCGCTCGAGGTCCTCCAGCGCGCGGCCCCGCGCGCGCTCAGGCAGGGTCGGGCTCGTGCGGCTCCGCTTGCACCCGCTCAGAGCACTGTCCAGGGGTTGCACTCCGGCACGTGGTTTGTCTGACTCATGGTGTTTGTTTTTCTTCTTTTTTTTTGCGTTGAGGGCCATCGCCCCTCATGCCCCTTCAGCTCACATCGTATATGGGTAGAGGACCTCTCGCAGAGTGTCACATGTCAAAGACGTGAATTTCGGCAGTTGTTGGCTAAAGTACGCGTCGAGACATGTGAAGGATTTCGCAGGCAGACGTTGCATATCGCAGTCGTACAAGCAGCTTCGTATATTCACATGGCCGACGCCAAGCGCGTTTCCCGCGTGGCGCGCAGGGCAGGCTTTACCATCGAGGCCCGAGCTCACGCTGCATATTTTGGAGTTGATCTCGGGGTGGGGGGCCGCCGCCGCGCCCTGGCAGCACGACGCCGCAGATCGCGCGAGTCAGGCCCAGCGCGCGCCAAGCTCGCCAAACATGCCAGAGCTTCAACGACATGCGCAGTCACATCCAGGATCGAACGTCAAGGATCGTTTGCCCAGCCGCTTCACTGTGCGTTCGGATGCGCACTCGACGCATTTCGTCGACGGCAGGGACGCGCGTGCGCAGCGCCGCCAGCAGGGGGACGCATTGCCACCCTCTTGGCCCTCCAGAGCGAAAGAGGCGATCCAGGCAGGCATCGCGATGGCAGCGGGTTGTTTGACGTCGCGGTTTCGCATGTGGGCCCATGAGGGGGCCCATTTTCGAGATGCTGCGAGGTTGGCGCGGCCCAGTGCCGCCCAGAAGTTTCGCGACCTCGATGTTTCAAATCGCACGCGCCACATTAGAGGACCTACGGGCGCTTTCATCTGCCACTTGTTGGAGACTGGTTGGAATCCCACACCCGCAGAGTCATGGGCGAGACCAATCGCAGACGACGGCCCGGAGGTCGACTGGAACCTCCCGTTTGGCATCGTTGTCGAAGGCAAGGGAGTGGATCTTTCCAGAGACGTGGTCGGCGAAGTTCGCGAGGATCGTGAGAAGTTTCTGCGGAATGCAGTTAATTTCTGTTCGCAGTGTGTTGTCCACTCCACAACTCGCGCAAACGCCCCACCCACCCACCCGCAACTTGGTTTGCAAAATCTCTTAAGACCGTGACGGCGGGTACCAAATTGCACTTGGCAGCGACAGCGACGCCGACGACGACAGCGACAACGACGACGACGCCGCCGACAACGACTACGACGACACCGACGACGTCTTCAACGACTTCGACGACGCCAACAACGACGACGACGACGCCGACGACGACAACGCCGCCGCCGAGGACGACGACGACGAAGACAACGACGACGACGATGACGACGCCGACGACGACGACTACGACGATACCGACGACGACGACGACCTCAACGACGCCGACGACGACGGCGACAACGACGACGACGGCGGCGACGACGACGACGCCGAAGTCGACGACGACGACGACGCCGACACCCAACGACGACGACTCGAAGACGACCGACGACGTCGCCAACGAAAGACGACGACGAGGGAGGGGGAGGACGACGACGGCCGACAAACGACGACAACGACGACAAACGACGAGGAGGAGGGAGGGACGCGCCGCGCAACGACGAAGAAGGCCGAGGACGCGACGGCGACGCCCGACGACGACAACGGACGGAGGGAGGAGGGAAGAACGACGACGACGACGACGGCGACGAAATTAGGAGGGACGACGACGAGGACGCCGACGACGGACGACGAACGACGACGAACGGGAGGGAGGAGGGAGGGAAGGACGACACACGACCGCCTTCAACGACGGAAACTGACACACGAGACAAATGAGAACCGGGACGACGACGAACAACGAGGAAAAGACAGAGGACGACGTAGGCGACGACGACGACGACGCGGGAGGAGGGAGGACGGCGACGACGACGACGACGACGACGCAAGAGCGCGCGCGCACGCTTTTGTTGAAAATCCGTGTTGCGAAACTATGTGCTTCTATATGTTTTTTGGACACGCGATGTTGAAATCCTTCCGAAGCCGATGGGTTTTGAAGGATTTCGGCATGCGTGCGCGACGACGCGCGCGTCTGCACTTCGTCCCATTTGTTGCAGAGGGCTCTCGCGACGGCACACGCGCAAGGGCGTTCGACAATGCGCGCGCGAAGCCAGGTCGGTGGCATTTTGTGAAAATGTGGGGAAGCCGATGGTTTTCTTAAGGTTTCGCACAAGCTCGCGCGTAAGCTTTTTTAGCAAATCAGTGTTGCGAAAACCGGTGCTTTTGTATGTTATTTTGGAAACTCGATTGCGAAATCCTTCCGACACCGAAGGTTTTTGAAGGATTTCGGCATGCGCGCGCGACGACGCGCGCGCGTGCACTTCGTCCTGTTCTTTTGCAAGGGATTTGCGAAAAAGTCTTATGTTAGAGCAAAAAATGTCCCCGCGTATGGTTTTTCTACAAGGGAGCCTCATGGGGAGCGATACCGGCCCCGCTGGGACAGTGTAAATTCATATTTCGGATGGACATGTGGTCAGAATCATATATAATTTGCATACCCGAAGCGGGAGCGGATAACGCCCGGGAAAGGGAGGGCAGAGTCTATTCTTTGTTTTAGAAAGGAGAATCAACAACCACTATTGCGGGCAAGGAGCGCAGGGTGGTGTTGATAGGCAGTCGCGCGTACATCTTACTCGCCAGATGAGACGTTCCTCATGGACACAGACTTGCGGAGCTCATGTTCGCGGCGGCAACAGGAGCTACATAGCCAAGGGAGCGCAGGCGAGCCCTCAAGTCAGACTGTGCTCCAGCCGCGTGTCCGCGTTGTGAGAGGCATCCGGAAACGGCAGTCCATCGTGCATGGGGGTGCGAGTGCAATGCAGGATCGCTCGCTTATCAGAAGACGGAGCAGTACATGCCAGAGGTTTTTTCGTAGTGGGGGACGGCTGAGCGCTTGTGGCCCAGAGGGCTGATGCCCTTGTCCCGGGTTGCAGTCGCCCCTCCAACCATGGGCGAGGATTGGAACTGTTCGGGCGAGTGGAATGAGTTTTTCCCAGGCATCGCAGGTGAAGGCGCACAGCGAGCTCCGCGCAATGTCTTCGGGAGCGCCAGTGGCGGCCGCGAGTCGTCCGATCCGCGTCTCCGCAAAGTTGGAGTTGGTTTGATATTGGCAGCAGATCCAAATGCCCATCCAGACCTCGAAGTTCGCGCTACACCCGAAGGCCCTCGTCCAAGGTGGTGGGCAGAGGCGAGCTCGCGGCACTGCTGTTCGCGCTGCAGTTCAGCTACGGGCTGGGTTTGCATCGGGCAAACTCTCAGTGGTGAGCGGTTGGCATCAGGATATGTTCAAGAGCCCTTCTGGCCCAGACGCGGGCATCTGGGCCGAGATAGCAAGGAGGTTGACGGACGTGGTCGAGGCCATTTTGTAGTTTTGTTTGTGAATTCACATCTGGACGGGAAAACTGTTCGCAGTCGAACAGTTCCAGAATGCTTCATTCTCGGTAGTCATGCCGCTGACGCAGTCGCCGAAATTGCCTCCACTAGAGTCCGACTGGATGAGCAGACCCGTCGCCGACTGGCCTTAGTTGATCAGAAGGTATGCATTGTTTGGCATCGTCTTCTGAGGGCCAATTTGGATGCGATTGAGAAGGAGAGAAAGAGAGAGAGAGAGAGAGAGAGAGAGAGAAAGAGAAAGCTTGGCCTCTCGGGCCAACGGCCTGAGCGCAGTAGCACCCCCCAGCCCCCAGGCCTCTCCCCAGCACTCTGTGTTTAACCCCTCCCACACCTTGCCCGACAACGGAAAGAGTTGCAACGCATGTATGAGCTCTGCCACTCTAGTTGCACTAGTTGAGTGGCGCACTGGTCAGCGATGTCGTTTAAAATCACTCGGGTGTGCGTTCTTTGCTCTCCCAGGGGGTGCTCGTCTACGTGTAGCTGTGGTGGGTGGGCACGCAGTAGCCATACCATGCAATACCATTCGTCTCTAGACTTCTGGTTTTGAATGTCATGCGGTTTCGTCAGTCAGCTGTTGCGCAGTGTGAACCT